CCCCGATATCATCTTCGCCCGCAGGCAGGCGGGCAGCCAGGCAGGCAGCCATCAGGCGGGCAGCCAGGGCAGGCAGCCATCAGGCGGGCAGCCAGGGCAGGCAGCCATCAGGCGGGCAGCCAGGCAGGCAGCCGTCAGAACAGAACGTCACTCAGAGCGCCCCTCGGCCCCAGATCCGCCAGCCACCGCCCGCCGGTCTAGTCCGCCTGGAGAATCAGCTTGCCGAGGCGCTATTGCCGCTGCGGTCACTGGAGTTGCCTGGAGCCAAGCTGGAGCCCAGACCCGCTTTGCCGCGGCTTTGCCAGAGCCGTGCCGCAGAATCTGGAGAATCGCGCTCGCCGCTGCGGCCAATGAAATGGCGGCATGGGATGGATCGGCTGCTGCAGAGACGCGGCCGGCAGTCGCTCTGTCTCTCTCACACTACTCGCGACGCCCCACGAGTGCGAGAGAGACAGCGCGACGACAACGACTCTCGGAATCAGTCCGCAGGCCGGCGGGCAACGGCTTCCACGCCACTGTGAGCTACCCGCCGAGCCGAGGCACTGCGGAGGTACACTGGAGGTAGCCGCCACGCGTCGCGTCGCGGTACCGTTGCATGCCCGTGGATATGGAAGGACGGCCTGCCTGACGGCCTGCCTGACGGCCTGCCAGGTACTTGGCTAAGGTCACTGCTTACCGGCCCGGCAGGTACCCGGCAGGATATAGAACGGTCATCACGCGGTATGGCCGAGACGTGCCGGCCAGGCTCCGCCAGGCTCGCCTCCGCCTGGCCTGCCGCTCCGCCATCACGGCCATCATGGCGGTCAAAGCGCAGACCCAGGTGCTGCACTGCGGCCGCTCGCGCCCGACTTGCCCCGACTGGCCCGGCGTACCGGCGTCACTGCCGAAACGTGCCGCCAGTGCCGGGGCAGCCCGTTCTGTTGAGTTGTCAGGCAGCGCTGTGGTGGCATTGCCCGGTGCCCTGTGCCCCGGCAGACTGATTCCGAAAGTCGTTTTCGCCGCTCTGTCTCTCTCGCACCCGTGGGGCGTCCCGTTAAGGTGCGAGAGAGACGCTGCAGCGACGTCTGCCGGCCGACGCCGTAATGGCCTCTCCGTCACTCGCCACGTCCGACGCGTCCGACTCGGCGCAAAGGGATTCCTCTCCCTCCTCGCGGAACTGGCCGGCGGCATGGCGGCATGGCCGCACGGCATGACCGTATGTCTGTCGTGCGCTGCTTCGGCTGGCCACTGTGGCCGGGCGCCATGAGGCTCCATGAGGACGCCAACGTGTCATCGGGCGCCGTGTCGTGCGCTTCCTGGGCACTGTGGCCGGGCGCCATGAGGCTCCATGAGGACGCCAACGTGTCATCGGGCGCCGTGTCGTGCGCTTCCTGGGCACTGTGGCCGGGCGCCATGAGGCTCCATGAGGACGCCAACGTGTCATCGGGCGCCGTGTCGTGCGCTTCCTGGGCACTGTGGCCGGGCGCCATGAGGCTCCATGAGGACGCCAACGTGTCATCGGGCGCCGTGTCGTGCGCTTCCTGGGCACTGCGGCCGGGCGCCATGAGGCTCCATGAGGACGCCAACGTGTCATCGGGCGCCGTGTCGTGCGCTTCCTGGGCACTGTGGCCGGGCGCCATGAGGCTCCATGAGGACGCCAACGTGTCATCGGGCGCCGTGTCGTGCGCTTCCTGGGCACTGTGGCCGGGCGCCATGAGGCTCCATGAGGACGCCAACGTGTCATCGGGCGCCGTGTCGTGCGCTTCCTGGACACGGAGGCCCGCTGCCGGCCCTGGCTTTTGGTTGCGCGAGCATGCCCCGCAGTGGGAGAGCATTTTGGAAACATTACTCTGCACTCCGGAGGCGGCAGTCGAGCCCTTTCCGTCTCTCGCGCACCTGCACGGGACGCCCCGAGAGTGCGAGAGAGACGGGGCGGAATCAGTCTCCATGGCGTGCATGCGCGGCGGCGGCGACGCACCGTCGTGGGAACGCCTGATAATGACCTCCTGCACGTGCACGGGGGCCTCTGAGGGCTCGGGGAGTGCGTCGTGGTGCGTCCCTCTCTCTCCCTCTCTCTCTCTTGCCCAGCCGCAGGGCCGCAGGGCCGCGGGGCAGCGCGGTGCGACGGAGAGGTACGACCGGGACTACGACGCCATGCTCCGGCGAGCACGCTGCGGCCGGCGGGCCGGCGGGGCGGCCGTCCTGCGGCCAGTCTTTTTCATTTTCACTGCCAGGAAAGTTGACAAGAGGAATTAACGACTGCGACAGGTCGGAAAATATCCAATAAGCCGTTTCCGGTACACTGGATACAGTGGATGCACTCGCTTATCGGCCAGTGGCACGCCACGGGCGATAAAGGCACCTCGGCTCGACCAGTGGCGTAGACAGCGGGGGCGGGGGCGGACTCGCTGCTGGACCCAGTCCTGGGGACCTGAGGCTAGCCTGAGGCCCGAGGTGAGCGTGCCTGTAATCCGCTGCGCGCGCCACTCGGCGCGCCACCACGCCAAACACGGTGCTCGGCATGCTCGGCCAGGGGCAGCGAGGGCAGCGGGGCCGCCAGGGGTTGCTGACCGAACCAGACCGGAGAAGCAGGATCGGAGGGGGGAGGGGGGAGGGGAGGTTCCTCCTCTCCTCGCGGTCCTGCGCTCAGCTGTTCGGCTTGTTGCTACGCACCACGCACCACACAACGCGCGGTGCGCGCGCGACTCTCAAAGGCACCCTCCTCGTCGTCCTCGTCCTCCTCGACGCCGCGTGGCGTGGCGAGGCGGACTTGCAGGAAACCGTCAAAACTTCAACACGAGCCGTGCTTTCCCCGACCGAGTGTAACCGAGTGCCCCCGGCCAGCGAGCAGCGAGCACTGCGCCTAGGGCTCTCTCACTCGCACCCTTCCGGCACGCCCCATGAGTGCGAGGGAGACAGACACTAAGGTTCCCCTCCACCCCAGACGGGCCTCCAGGACGCCTTGGTTAGCATCCTTATCATGCACCCTGTTATCGGCGCCGTGCACCTGTCCACCGGTGCCTTCGTCGCTCTGTCTCTCTCGCACTCATGGGGCGTGCCGTGGGCGTGCAAGAGAGACAGAGCGACGGTTCGCAAACGGCGCGCTGCACGCAGCATAGGCAGCACGCCACCACCAGCCACCACTCGGTGCAACAATGAGAAGGAGAAGAGGCAAAGGCAAAGCAGGCGAAACCATTCCCGTCCCGCCGGCATTCCTAGAAAGACGGCGACACCGCGGTCGTCATGAGAGTCATGAGAGCGCTGGTCGGAGCGGAGTGAGCGGCTTCCCAGAAGCCAGGGCAGGGCCGCGGGGCCGGCCGGGCAGGGGCAGGGACGGCAGGGACGGCACAAGGACAGGTATCATATCGGTATCATATCGGCCACGTCCGGTCGGCCCTGCCGTCGTGGTCTGCCTCGCTGTGGGGCGACCTGGCGGCGACCAAGAAGGGGGCGACGCCAGTGGAAGTCGCCGGCAGCGTGTGACGCGGTGACGACACGCTGCGGCACGTCCGTGCTCCGCGGTGTGGGCAAGGTCGCGGGTTCGAGTACTGACGGGGTGGGCAGCGGGTTCATAGTGACGGATTTCGAGCACATTTACAGCCCGCCCCCTCGTGACGTGAATGAAGGCAGGGAAGTTGCCAAGGGCAGAGAACACGTGGTTTACGAATAGTTCCACAGGGGATGTTCTCACCTCTCTGGTCCTCCTGGAGTCGGTGTCCGAGGGGGGCGCTCCCCTGGGGATGCAGCTGTCTCGGCGCAGCTGGGCGGTCTCCGCCGGCACCCCCTGGAGGCCCTGGAGGCCCTGGAGGCCCTGGAGGCCCGCCCCCTGCAGAGCGGCCCTGCCGCGGGCCGCGGCCGCGAACTCCGGGTCAGCCCGCGCGCGCAGCGCCGCGTTGAGAGCCGAACAGTCTAGCGACTTGCTCTGGTGCTCCGAGGTGAGCGCCATGGACTTTGCGAAGGACGACTTGAAGTACGTGCCCATGGCCGGCGGCTCGGCTAGCTCCACCTTGCTTCCCAGGGCGAACTCCACCCTGGGCCGCTGCTGGGGTTGCTGCACCCCGCCCGCGTGGCCGGCCTGGCCGTCGCCCCCCGAACCTGGCATGGCGACGACAAATCCAGAGCACTCCGCGACCTCAACACACGCACACGCCGCGGCACATGGCGCACCCCGCGAAACGCACACACACACACACCGACACGCACACGCCAAATGGAGGGTAGCCCCCCGGAGGAGCGGACAGAAGCACGTCGAGACGCCGCGAGCACACGTCGGCTTCGGAGCGACGGATCGGCGCGAAGTACCGCGCGCCACGGGCTGCCGACACAGACTGGCTGGCGGCGGCGGCGACGCGACGCGGCGGGGCGGCCGCCGGCTTGCGGGCTGCGGCTGGCGGCTGGCGCGGTGCCGTCGCGGACCCGGAGCGCAGGAGTTGGTGGCCAGTGGCGGTGGCCCAAGGGTGGCCGGTGGGGAGTGAGTGGCGTCGCGACGTCGCAACATGGCGTCGCGGGGTGGAGGGTGCACCGCGAATTCGCGGAATCGCGACCAGGGGTGAGAATGTTGAGGTGGGCGGAGGGATGTTCGCTTGGTGTTGTTGTATGCCATATAATGGCGCTCTCAGCCTCGGGTCCATTCGCTAAAGAACCACCTTAGATAGCATTTGGATGGTATGATAACAGCATCAAAATTTTAAGAAATCCTGTAAATCTATTAAAAGCGGAGAATGAAAGGCAATGACCCTGTCGATACCCCGCGCCTGTTACAAAGGCGCTTGGGCACGGGAGTATCGCCGGCTAGGATCGTTTCTTTTCAGGCTCATAGAACAATGGCTTGGTGGTTGATCATCTCAGACAGTTAAATCCGCAGTCACTTGATTTCAGGCATTTATAAGGGCTGAAATATGAACACACATTTCAATATTTAAAGATTATTCGTTATCGAATCGCGCCAAAAGTACACGACTGACAATAATGGCTCTTCTCCTGCGAATAGCTGGGCGACAAGAGAAGAGAGGGGAGAGGGGGCTGGCGAGGGAGGGGAAGGAAGATACTGTTGTGGAGGTTATGACGAACTGCCAGTGATGTTTTGAAGAGATGTGTTGTTTGTGACAGCCCTTCATTATGCCGAAGAAGGAGGAAATGAAGGGGATCCTTGCTGATCTCGGGAGAGCCACTCTGCGAGGCGTGCGCAAGTGCCCCAAATGTGGCACGTACAATGGGACAAGGGGTCTTAGCTGTAAAAACAAAGCTTGTGATGTTGTGTTCAAAGAAGCTGGCGAAAAACGGAAATTCTCCACAGATGCCTGTCGTTTGCACACGGGTTCTAATACGCAGGTAAATTTACTGCCTCGTTTCTTGTTCCCGTTTTAACCCTTTTAACCTACATGTCATTAATGTTTATTGTGTTTGCGGACAACTTTTGTTTATTCCTTGGTTCATTTTTTGCAGGTATTTTCTGTCAGAGTCCGAGACAAGGGGCCTGACTATCGAGGCTTCGTACAGCTGCTCACAGAAGTGGACCTTTTGTCAGGGGGAGGACTAGAAGCAGAAGACGGAGCGTTAATGAGTCCGAATGCTGCCCTCTGCTTTGTTGACACATGCCAGCGCTCTTTTGACGCCAGTGTATTGAAGTGCCATGTTAGTACTCTTTCTATATGTAGTATTTAGCTCTTTTTACTGTATCCTTTCCTAATTCTGCTGAATTGCACCTTTCAGGAGAAGAACACAGTTGTGTCCCCTGTCCAGCCAATTTCTTGCCAACATATTGCTGCTGCCTTAAGGTGCTTTGCAGAGGCTCAGCCTCTTACTTTAAAAGCATCTGTTATCAACCAGTTAAATTGTGATGGTGTCGCTAAGCAGGTGTGTAAATTTAAACCTTCTGCTTGTGCATTTAAATGATTTTGTTGTTGATTTTTGGGCATTGTATGCATCATATTTATGCATAACTTTTTCTTTCATGTATCAGTCTCTCTGGAATTTGGTTGCTGAAACATCAGGACCCTTAGTACAGCGAGTGTCTAAAACAATAATGGCTGTCAAATGCAAACCATCTCCAAAACACCCACTAGGTTATCTCCACTTCGCTTTCTTGACCTCTCGAGTGAAAGACCGCATTGAGCATAGACATTTCTGCAGTTGTCCTGAATTTAAGGTGTGCATCTATCTTATTATTTTTCTGTATCTTAGTCATACTTTTAATTTTATTAACTATGTTTTCATATTTTTTAGGCACATGGGAAGGATGATGTAAACGTACTGAAAAGATGTGTTCATTTTTATGCCTCTGTTTGTGCATTTATTAGTGATGAAAAGCTCTCAGAAGAGTTTTCTTACTATGTTGAAATGTGTTATCCACCATCAACACAAAGTAAGTGCTTGGCAGATTTCTTTAATGCATCACCTCTGTTTCACCCCTTTGTTTTATAATATGGTTTTTTAAATTCAACACTTAAAAGGCAGAGAAGAGCACCAGTTATTTTCCATTCTCCATGATGCTTTTGAGGGTGGAGCAGATCCTTGTGAAGTGGAAGTTGTGCTTCAGGATGAACCCCTCTTACAGTCAGCAAGCATCAGTGTTGCGGAGGATGGCACTATAACTCAGGTACAAGCATATATTTTGATGGAAATTCGTTTCTTTGAGTTGGACCTAATTTTATTTGACTGCTGTGACATCCCTTAATTTTCTAGGTTCATGAGCTTGGCGACATCCAGATTCACCCATTGGATACCGATGGTATCACATACAGTGCAGCTGAAATAGCAGATATGCTACCTAAAATTGATAGCACCCTGCCTCAGCTTCAGGTACGATATTCTATTCGCCATTAAAACCAATGAAATAAACTTTCTATGATCATTGAATTTAGATAAATTTATCAACTTTACTTTCTTGTCTTTTTAGACCAAATTGAAGCGCAAAAGAGAGGACTCTGTAAGTCAAACATTACTAACGTTGCAAAAACCATCTGAGAGCAACTCCAAAGTTAAGAGCAGCAGTGGAGGAGCCCGTAGCACTGGAAACCAAAGACAGAATAATTCTGATCGCAAACCAGTCACTAGCTCTGCATTCAAAAAACAGGGTTAGTGTTACCATTTCATTTTATGTTAGACTTGCTGGTTAAAATTCTGTTCTCTATAATAATTTAGTATTTCTTCCAGATCCTCCCAATGAGAATGATTCCAATGTATCCTTCATTCAGTGGTTAGCATCAGTTACAGAAAGAATAAATCAAACAATGCATTTCCAATTCAGTGGAGATCCTGATCCTTTAGTTTTTCATGTTCCTCAGGTGGGTTCAATTCATATCTATTTTTTGCACAAAATTCAGTAGTTTCCCTCCCACAATGATTGAGTACATTTCATGATATCTCAGGTATTTTTTGACTGCTTGAGGGAGCGTATGTCTACTCCACTTGGAGGTCACAAGAAAAGACGCCTACCAAACACCACTACAGTATTTGTAAGAAAGGATTCGGTCCCACTTGGTTCATTTACCAAGTATACATGGCACATCACAAGTGTTCTGTTTGTGAAACATATTTTTGACACACCTCTGGTAAGGATTTGGTGATGAACTTGTTGGCTCTTTCTTGATAAAAATAGGCTGGTGGCCCCACCTAAAATTTGATATCTCATTCTATACTCTATTTGTAGATGCCGCTGGATATAATTCGAAGTTTTGTTGAGAACCGAGATGGCACCTATGACCTCTTTCAGAATAATAAAAAAGAAGACAAGAGTATAAATTTGCCTAAAACTGACAAACGACCTTTGAAACCTTTGGAAGTCAGAACTTATCTCAAAGTTGGTTAGTAATGTGTCTTTGTTTTCCGTGTGGCATTTTAAGATTCTCTAGATAGTGTTGGTAAATTTAATATCATGATTATTACCTTTGTAGGTAATACCTCACCAGATCAATTAGAACCTACACCTTTCATTATTGAATGGATACCAGATGTTCTTCCCCTGAGCAAAGTGGGAGAGCTGCGTCTTCAGTTTAAGTTTGGCCATCAAAGTTGTGCACCAGAACAAGCCAAGAATCCATTCATCCGACAATCTCAACGAGCATCACAAAAAGGCAAAGGGTCCAAAACAAAGAAACGCCAGAAAGAAGCAACATTTTGTCCACCAGAAGATGGCATCTCTGTACTTGTAGATGCAGATGAACTCCTTGCATTATAACACAAAGAGATTGTGATATGAATAGCTACAATGTTAAGGTTCAGGGTGATGTTATTGTATGAGAACAATATTTATTTGCTTTTCTTATCCAAAGATTTAAAAATGTTTTGTTATCTGGTTCCCTTGTTCTATAGGAATCGTTTTTAATATTTATTGTACATACATCTTAATTTATGAAATGAATGTGCACGTTGAAGAAAAGGTTTCAATCCTCGCATTTTTGTTTGTTTGTTAGTTTTGATGTGATTCAATGAGACATCTGCTCTCTTAACATTTTTTCCTTTTTACCAAGTGTACCGGCAATAAGTAAGATTTACATATTGTTTTATTTGGTGATTGTGTACCACTGCCACAACTGTATCATGTATAACGTTTGATTTATACACGCAGCATCTTTACTTGATGTAGTAATAAAGAAGTCTTGCCTTGAATCTACTTATGATTGGCCTCCTACCACTTCTACTGGGTGTAGAAAATACATGTGGGTTTCGTCGTGGCAGGGTGGCACACAGTGGGCCAGAAGACCGGCGCAGGCGGTCAAAATTCTTGATGAGTTTTGGGCTCCAGAGTCGCTAAATGGGACTCGAGCCGAGCGTGTGACCCCACCAATGGATTGCTCTTCGAACGAGGAATCCATTGGTGGGGTCACACGTTCGGTTCGAGTCCTGTTTAGCGACTCTGGACCTCAAAACGCGTCTAGAGTTTTGGCCGCCTGCATTCAGTGAAGCGGGCTGCAGGCTGCAGCCGCGGCGAGAACGGGGAACGGAACGGGGCGTTCGCGTTCACGTTCGCGTCGATTCCTGTGCGCGGCGAGGAGCAGCGGAGCAGCGCCCCGCCAGGGACAGGGGCCTGTGGTCGGAGACGATGGCAGTCTCAGATGGCCCTCTCCCAGCGACGCACCAGCACGTCGGAACCAGGGAACCCCGCGCTCGCGCAGCCCAGCGCACGCTCGCACGCACGCACGCTCGGGGAGTGAGGCCAGGACCGTACTAATCCCAGTGCGTCAGACAGTCATGTTCTTGTTCTGAAGAGGCGTCGGTTCGCAGTCGACATGCAGTCCGTTTGCGCCCTTCTGTGCGTGGCCGCCGTCGCCACGCTCCTACCCTCAGGTGAGTGCAACAAGTGGAACGTGGTGCGGACAAGTGAGGTCAACGTTTCATCTCGAAACCGATCAGATGGTCGTCAAGAGCATTTATCTGTCGAGGATGTTAATTACCATTTTGCTAAGTTCAGATCGATTTGGGGGGAGGGGGAGCATGCGTTGTTCGGTCCCCTTGCGCGTGGATAAAGCCACTTGCCATTCGGTGTACCATTGAAAGTTCTCTCCAAAAATCGGTTTGATATCCCGCCCAGGAGGTGGGCAAGGAGTAGCACTTTGCCCCTGTGCGTGGGCAACTCTCGCTACTCCGCCCCCTCCTGGAGCTCTCCCTGGATCCGCCACTGAAACTTGAAAACGCCCCCGGTGCTGCCATGGTGTTTGCTGCTTGCGACGTTTCTCCCGCGCTAAACTCTGGGCACTGCTCTTTCAAGAATTAATTCCTCAGCTCCTTTCTGGACGCGATAAATCAGCTGCTGTTTGTGTGGCGTGTGCGGCTGGCTGTGTGGCCGCCGCTGAGCCCCACATGTGTCATGCAGGACGAGGCTGGGCAGGGCCAGGGCAGGGCCAGGGCAGGGCCAGGGCAGGGCCGCCGCCCTGATTTACGACTTTCCGACGCACCGTGCGAATATTGAAATATTGAAATGCCCAAATGGGGCTCGGCGGCCGTTGTCGTGCAGTCGGCGTGGCGTTAGCGCGCGGCTGACGGGGCTGACGCTGACATGGTGGCTGACGGGACGACGGGGCCCGGCCCGTAACTTCCGAAGACGTCCGGCGACGTCCTCGCGGGGGCGCCACTGCCTCGGCCGCGCGGCCCTATCGGCTTTTTGGCCAAAACGAGTAACTAGGGACAGGGCCTGGCGTGGCCTGTCGTGGACTGGCGTCCGGAGGTCCGGGCGTGGGCGTGTGTCGGGCCGCGACGTCCGCGCGGAGGGGACGGCCTTATTGGGACTGGCCCTTGTGCGAGCGGTGCGTCGCAGCGCCGTGTCCATGCCGTGTCACTGGAAGGGAAGGGCGGCGAAGCCCGCCGCCTTTTAAGTACAGCACCGCACGAGATTCAGGAAACGATTAGAATCGAGATGTAGCCGTGTCCTCATCGAGTCCGCCCGTTCAAACATTGCGAAACGAGCCTGGAATGTCTCCGTTTCAACTGTGGCGCCCGGACATTCCTTTCGGTTCGGCCGAGGGCGCGGAGCGATTAAAGTTCCCTCTTGGGAGCAGGGGCCGCAGGGGCGTCATCTAATGCCCCGGCCGGCACTAAACTACGTTCGTCTGTTAACCCGAGGGTTTTTTATTCGGCCGAGTCCTGCGAGTGGCCGCGATGCTAATTTAAATGGGGCCCATTCGCTCCCTCCACAAACAAACCAAACGGCGGGCGCGTCAGCCATGCGCCAGCCCAGCGTGGAAAACACCGACATCGAAAGCGATGATCGCCATCGCCTCTACTCTCGGCGGCGGCTGGCCGACCTGGTGGCCGACGGACTGACTGCCGGCGACACCGCGGCCAGCGCGGCCACCACGGCACGGTCACCGTCTTCCGAGCGGTCCGCCGGCCGCGAAATGAATCACCACGAGGCACGCCGACGAGCACGCCGAGCATGCCCAGCAGGACCGCTCATCGCCGTCGTCGCTCCGTCTCTCTCGCACCCACGGGGCTGTCCGCCGGGCTGCGAGAGAGACAACGACGACGGCGACGAGCGCGGAATCAGTCAGCAGGACGAGGACGGCCGGGCGCGGCGCGTGACGAGGTGCCGTATTGTCGCCTCACGCGTTCGATTTCACGCGCATTGTCCCGCCGAGCGGAGCCATGGCGGCGCGACACCTTGCCGACGGGGAGGGGCCGAACCGACTTGCCGAGGGCCTTATAAGTCGACGGGCTGCAGCCTTAGCGCAGCGTGACTGGCCCGCGGGCTGGGCGACTTGAAGCGGACGCAGGTCGGGGTGCTGCTGCTGCTCACTGATTCCGGGAGGTCTCTCCCTCGCACTCATGGGGTGCTCCGTTCGGGAGTGAGAGAGAAACACCGACGATGTTTCCCTTTACGGCGAGCAGCGCCCTGCCGCCTGCCCATCTGCACCTTGCAGTGTAGGGGCTTACCCATTTCCTGAAAGTCATCCCACTCGTCTGATGGCAGATGCCTAATATGAGTGTAAAAGGAGCGCAAAGCGGTGCGGCGTGTTGCGTCACGTTTAGTCGTCGGGGGAGGACCGGGGAGGCCGCCCTCGTGTTGTTTCAATGGCCCCGCCCGGCCCTGCGGCCACACTGCCACACGGCCCCACGGGGACGCACCTCGCACCTCCCTCACGACATAAATCGCGGCGAGCACGTCAGCGCCATCAACGCGCTCTCAGCACCTTGAGGCGCCGCCGCGCCGCCAGGACGCCGACGGCTGCCAGGACGACGCCGACCCCCAGGACGACGACGAGTGTGTTTCCTCCGCCAGCGCGCCACGTCCTCCAGCTCGGACGGGCGACGTTGGCGGAAAGCAGCGCGCCTTCCGGGTGGCGGCTGGGTCGGCCAGTTTCCGATCATCGGCCGAGTCGAGTATTTCGGGTCCTGGGGTTCCTGGGGGTCTAGGGCACGCGGGCGGCCAGGGCGGCCAGGGCGGGGGCGTCGAGGCACCTCACGCACACGGAGGCGGCCGCTTATTTTTGGCTGTCCGGCGCCAGTGAAGCGGCGACGCGGCGCGGCGCTAAGCAAAGCGGGGCGAAGCGGGGAGGATTGTGCGTGAGAAGGTTGAGCCGGGGAAAAAAGGGGGGGGGGGTCCACGCCCCGAGTCACAACGGTGGGCCACGCCGCGTGCCGCGTGGGGGCGGAGAAATAATGGGTTCACAGAAGCGCGAGGATTAGGCTGTCTTGTCGACCGAGTGTCGGGTCGGCCCTCTCGGCGTGGCGTGGCGCGGCGCGTCGGGCCGGCCGGGCCGGCGGTGTGCTCTCTGGTTGACAGCGCACCGCCGCGACCAGGACCAGCACGGACCAGCCAGGACAGCCGGGGCGGGCGTGCCGCGGGCTGATTCCGGATCGGCGCTTGGTCGCTCTGTCTCTCTCACTCTCACGGGGCATTCCATAGAGGTGCGAGAGAGACAGAGCGACCGAGCGCGGCGTGCCGGGGCGGTGCTAACCGTGCCGACGGACGGGGAACACGGCGCGAGCGGCGCCCGGCCCACGAGGCCGTGTTATAGGCCGCGCCACAAAGAGCAGATAGTGTCCACACGTGTCCGAGACCATCGCGATCACGACCCGGAGGCCGGGGGATCGCTTTCCGAGCTCTGGAGAGAATCATTCCAGCTGTCTATGGAGTCGATGTACCGACCGACCGACCGTCCGGCAGGAGCTACGGCCAAGACGAGCTGTCGCATCGGCCGGCCGGGAGGCAGGAACCACTCAACCACTACACTGTTATTACACAGTGTGCGACACGACACTTGAACTTGAAATAACTAGCGCCGGGGCTCCGAAAAAAAATGTGTGGCCTTCGCATGGAGATGCCGCCCTGCACTCAACGGGTCGCTTCAAAGGGACTACACAAAATGGGTCGTAAAAAGGCGGCCGCATATTTTAACAAGATTATTAAAGGGCGAAATCACGGAGTGCACTTTACGCGTGTCCTGGCCGACTGCCAGCTTCTCGGCTCGTGTTCGCACTTCTGCTCGATGCACCTAGACGGACTGCAGGCGGCGTGCTGCAGGCGGCGGTCGTAAAAGCCGCAGCACGCCGCAACAACCGAGCAACAAGCAGCAAGACGTGGCCCAGAAACAGAGGGCGAGAATCGGGCAGGCGCACAGTGGGCCAGAAGACCGGTGGAGGCGGTCAAAGTCCCCGACGCGTTTTGAGCTCCAGAGTAGCTCAATGGGAGTGGAACCGAACGTGTGACCCCACCAATGGATTGCTCTGCGAACGAGGAATCCATTGGTGGGGTCACACGCTCGGTTCCAGCCCTGTTTAGCGACTGTGGAAGCACAAAACGCGTGTTGAGTTTTGGCCTCCGGCGCCGGTCTTCTGGCCCACTGTGAGACGGCTCCGCTGTCCCGCCAGCAGCACAGCGTTTCAATGTAAGATCGTTTTCGGGCTTTAGGCACTGTAGCGCCCACCGCGTGGTTTGTCGTCGGGGAGCTTAGGCCCTCTCCATCGCAAAGGGATGCACGCCCACCTAAGCAGATCAGTGGGCCAGCCGCGCCACTTTACGAGGCAGTGAGTCACTGCGAGGGAAAGCCGAAAGGAAAAGCAAAGCCGATTCGAGGAATCGAGAATCAAGACGCCTCGCAGTGTGGTAGTGTCACAGTGGCGCGCTGCTCGCGAGCCAAGTGGCTCTCCCCGCGAGTGAGCACCCCTGGCCAAGCCCTCGGCCAAGCCCTCGGCTAGCAAATCTCTCGAGGCGAAGCGGAAACAGTGTTGTTTTTTTTTTCGCGGTGATGCGACCGCCAACGTCTGCCACGCGCTAATGTAGCAGGCGAAACTCGGCGGCGGCGAATAGGAGCGCCTGCGAAGTGGACAGCCCCGCAACACAGCCGAGTTCGACGGGCGGGTCTACCTCGCAGGCGCCTCAGCCGCCGCACTCGCAGGCCGATTTGTGCGCGCGGCTGATGTTGATGCCTTCCTCGCGCCAATTTAGACATCCGTGAGGGAAACGACATCGAAAACTAAAAGTGAATCAGAGAGGTTGTCACGCACGCGCGCACGCGCGCGCCCACGTGTTTGCGCTCTTAAATACGGCGGGGCCCGCCGCCCCGTCGCCCTGTCACGCCGGGCGCCGCTCTGCCGCCTCGAAGTAAGCAGTCAGGCTGGCGGGGCTGGCGGGGCTGGTGCCGTTTGCCGCGCGCCAGGACCACTTCCTTCTGCGAGTCCTCCTCGCCCTCCTCGCGCGCGGCGGCGCGGCGGCGCGGCGGCCTCCAGAAGGCCGAGAGGCTGAGGGCTCAAAGCTGCGGGGCAACCCGATCCGCTGACACTAAAGCCCGCCCACACCTGGCCGCCGAAATAACACTCTAGTGCCCGACAGGATGGTGCTGGACAGTGCTTTCGCTGCTCTGTCTCTCTCGCACTCAGGGGGTGCGCCGCAGGCTGCGAGAGAGACGGAGGGACACTGTTTGGGACCAGCCGGCAGAGCGGCGTTCGAACTGAAGGCAGCGCCGCGCTTTGCGTCGCTTTGCGTCGCTTTGCGTCGCTTTGCGTCGCTTTGCGGCAGCGGGATTACCCCACGCTTTGAGGCGCTTGTTTGTTTTGACCGGCCGGACTGGCCAGGCAGGGCGGGCCTCATGGGCGGGCAGTGCCACGCGCCGCGCGCCGCGACAAAGGAGCCAGGACTGACGGGGTGGCTCGGCCTGGCCTGCAGGCTGATCAAGCTCATTCTGTCTCTCTCGCACCCATAACGTGGCCACTGCGTTTTGACAACTGGGTTGGCTTTTCCGACCCCACCCGTGGCCAGATGGTTGACGACGCGGTGTGCTTGAAGGCTGCATCAGCGCAGTCGCGACGTCTCCATGCCACAATGCAAGCGCGAGGCACTGCGAGGCACTGCGAGGCACGCCTGTCGATGAGACATCTTGATGCCGGCAGCAGATGTCGCTAGGGGGCCGTCGCGGAGGTCTAGGACCAGGCAGTCTCGGCTAGGCCTGGTCTAGGCGGTCTAGGCGGTCTAGGCCGGGCGTGACGCGTCGCGCTCACGCTTGTCGGCTGCGCCACGCTGCGCCGGCCGGCGTCACCCAGTGTCTACTCATGGCGACACGGTTTGTTTCCGATGGGGGAAAACTGACAAGTTGATTCGCTTTTCCTTTGGTTCCAGCAGTGCTGAGCCAGACGCCGCAGCAGACGCGGTGGCGCGGCCAGGAGCCCTCGGTGCGCCACGCGTCCGGATGGTACTACCGAGGCAATAGCCGTAAGTACGACCTCTGTCTGGTCTCGGGTTCGAATCCCCACCAGTTATTCCATTTCTGTTGCATTTTTGGTGCGACGGTTTGTCCGCGTGTTTTCCAGTGCCGCATCAAACCCCGGTGGAGCCCGCCCCCCTTGCCCCCGCCGCCGCCGCGGCCGGGCCGGCGCGGTTCGCGCAGGTGCGGCACATGACCGCCGTGCAGCAGGCCGACGGCAGAAGCAGCAGCCTGCGCTCGCACCGGAGGATGCTGTTCAAGTGAGTCTCCCCGCCGCCGCGGAGCGCCGCGCAGAAAAACAACCAGGGAACAAACACCCGACTCGCACCAGCTGATTCTCCCCAATTCCGCCCGACTGTCCGCGACACTGTTTCATGCTGAGAGGCTTCTTGTCGGACAATAATAAGCCGCCTTGTCCGACACCGTCATAAAAGCGGCGAAGCGGCCGCGCTGCTGATCGGTCCGCCGTGGTCGTCCGTGATTGGTCCATTTCGGGCCGCCGTCCTACGGACGATGGGCTGTCCTGCCGCCGTCCTATACCCGTCCCGTTTCATTCGGGTACAATCGTTGGTTTTGAGGTCGCCTCGATCGCGGTCCTTTGGGGAAGAGCTCGCACTGCTGGACGTCTTTACGACGCCCGTAAACGCCTCGCCCACACACACCAACACACGCACGCACGCGCACACACACACGCGCGCGCGCGCACACACACACACACACACACACACACACACACACACACACACACACACACCTAGATCGTGCGCTACGCGGCGCTAGCGGCGGTCACACCGAAATAGACTTGTCATAATTTCACGGGGGATAGGACAGGTCTGGGCGGGTCGGACTGTAAACACTAGGCGACGCCGCCGCCGCCGCCGCCCGTGCCGCGTGCACTGACTCGCCTCTTGTTATGGCAGCTGGGACTTGACGCCCGCCACCGTCACCGCCGTCACCGCCGCGCCGCGCGAGCCGTGGCGGCAGCCGGACCCTCGCACCGGGGCCCATGTAGGGCACCAGCCAGCCCAGCCCAAGCCGCCGACGCCGCCGACGCCGCAGCACCGGGAGCCGGAGGAGCCGGGCCACGGCCCGCACGCCCTGATGCACCCCAGGCCGGCGGCCGGCCCCGGCGTCCCCGGCACCAGCCAGCTGCACGCGCTGCACAGCCGGAAGTGGGCCGGCCAGCAGCAGCGCGCGCACCCGGACCTGCACCGCGAGGAGCACGGTAAGCCCTACAACAGGCCCTACGACAGGCCCTACGACAACAGGCCCTACAACAGGCCCTTCGACGGAAGACCCCACGACAGCCGGCCGCACGACAACAGGCCCCACAACAACGTGCCCTACGACAACAGGCCGCACGACGGCAGGCCCCATGACGGCAGGCCCCGCGTCCACGTGCACGTCCCGGACCACGGCAACGAGATCCACCCCTTGCAGCCCGGTACGGTCGCCCACTCATATGCCGCTACCCCCCGCATGGAAACGTGGAGTGCTGACGGCCTCTGTTGCAGGCGTTGCAGGGGCGGCAGACCGCCACGGGCGCAGGCGGCCGCACTTCCCGTACTGGCTGGGCGCCGACAACCAGACCAAGGCTGCCCTGGAAAGGGCCAACTCCATCAGCGCATCCTCCGACGGCATGGACTTCTTGGACGCGTGAGTGCCGTTCTCTGTAAGAAAATCGGCGCTAATTGTTTCTTATCTTTTAAATTTTCTTTTGCGGCAGGGACGGTACGGCCGAGGGTCCGGACGGCCGTCGCCACGGCCGCAGGTGGTGGCACCGGCAGCGCAGCCGCCAGGACCGGCGCAGGCTGCAGGAGGAGCGGCGCCGCCAGCAGCAGCCCGCCGTGTGGAGGGCGCAGTTCCACGACTACAGCAGGCCCAGCACCGCGAGGCCCACCCCCGCCGCGCCCGCAGCGCCTGCAGTCGAGCTGCCGCGCCACGCCCTCAACGAGGGCTGGGTCAAGATCACCAACCCGTCGCCGGACCTGGCGTCGCGCTTCGGGCTGCGCGTCGCGCACGGCCCCCGCCCCACCACGGCATCGCCCTACGACCTGGACAACGGCCTCGACGTCGTGTTCGGCGAGCCGCCGCGACTGTCGCAGCACGTGACCACGCCCCGCAGCGTGCCGAGTACGCCGAGGCCGCGGCCGGAGCCTGTCACGTCCATCTACCACCGCATCCCCGGCAGGCTGGACTCGACCTGGCGGCGCCACCGCGGCGGCTACCGCGGGCACCACCCCGGCATCACCGCGACGACGACCACCACCACCACCCAGGCGCCCACGACCACCACAACCACGACTATGGCGGCGGTCACCGAAGCTGAGGAAGTGGTTGTCTCCAGCAGGGCGCCACAAATCACCAACAACGACGTACTGTCGGTCAGCGAGGAAGTAGACGAACACCAGGAGGAGGCGAGGAGGGAGGCAGAGAGGGCGGAGAAGGAGAGGATCCGGTTGGAAGCCGAGAAGCTCGAGCAAGAGAGGATCAGGCTTCAGGCTAAGAGGCTGGAGGAGGAAACGGTCCGGCTGGAAGATGAGAAGTTGGAGCAAGAGAGAATCAGGTTGGAAGCTGAGGAAAAAGAGAGAATACGGTTGGAGGCTGAGAAGCTGGACCAAGAGAGGATAAGGCTAGAGACTGAGAAGCTGGAACAAGAGAGGATAAGGCTGGAGACAGAGAAGCTGGAGCAAGAGAGGATCAGGCAGGAAGCTGAAAAGCTGGAACAAGAAAGAATCAGGCTAGAGGCTGAGAAGCTGGACCAAGAAATAAAGATCAGGCAGGAAGCTGAAAGGCTCGAAGAAGAAAGGAAAAGGCTGGAGACAGAGAAGCTGGAGCAAGAGAGGATCAGACAGGAAGCTGAGAAGCTAGAAAAAGAAAGAATCAGGCTGGAGACTGAGAAGCTAGAGCAAGAAAGAAGGGTCAGACAGGAAGCTGAAAAGCTGGAACAAGAAAGAATTAGGCTAGAAGCTGAGAAGTTGGAACAAGAAAGAATCAGACAAGAAGCTGAGAAGTTGGAACAGGAGAGAATCAGGCTTGAGGCTGAAAAGTTGGAAAAAGAAAGAATCAGACAAGAAGCTGAGAGGTTGGAACAAGAAAAAATCAGTCTGGAGGATGAAAAGCTAGAACAGGAAAAAATTAAACTGCAGGAGGAAGAGGTGGCACGGCGAGTGCGTCTGGAGGAAGAGCGGATTCGCATAGAAGCAGAAGAGGAGCTGCGCAGAATAGAGGAGAGGAGGCACTCGGAAGAAGTGGACGAAAACCAACTACTGGAAGAGAGAAGGCAGGCCGAGCGGCGGGAGCAGGAGCGACTTGAAGAGCTGCGCCGGGAAGAAGAGCGCCTGGAGGAAGAGCGGAAGCTCGAAGAGCGCCGCGAAGAAGAGCGGCTGGCCAAGGAGCGGCGCGAGGAAGAGGTGCGTTTGGAGGAGAAGAGGAGGAAGGACGAAATGGAGCGGCAGCGAATCGAGGACGAGCGGAAAGAAGAAGAGAGGCTGGTGAAGGAGCGCGAGGAAGAGGAGAAGCGGGAAACAGAGAGGAGGATGGAAGAGCGGCGACTGGAGGAAAAGCGTCTAGAAGAGCGGCGGCTCGAGCTGAAGAGGGAATTCGAGCGACGCCTGGAAGAGCGGCGCCAGGCGGAGAAGCTAGAGGAGGAGCGACTGGCCGAGGAGCGCCGGGAGCAGGCGCGTCTCGCGGAAGAGCGGCGACTGGCGGAGCGCAGAGAACAGGAGCGCCGCGAACAGGAGCGACGCGAAGAAGAACGCCGCGAGGAAGAGCGTCGCGAAGAGGAGCGCGTCCGGGAAGCGCAGCGCCAGGAGAAGCTGGAGGCGCGGCTGCAGGAAGAGCGGCTGCAGGCGGCGCAAAAGGCGCGCCTCGAGGAGGAGCGTGTCGCGGCCGAGCGCGCTGAGGAGGAGCGCCGCCTGGAGCAGCAGCTACGTCAGCAGGAGGAAGAGCGGGAACGCCTGGACCGCGAGCGCCTGGAACGAGAGCGTCTGGAGCGGGAGCGCCTGGAGAAGGCCGAGGCGGAGCGCACCGATGACGAGGACGACGCGGACGACGAGGACGACGACGAGGAGGACACCAGTGAGTCGGCAGAAGCGAAGAAGGCGGATGGCGGCGAGAACGAGGTGGCGGCAGCAAAGAACGAGAGCGGCGAGGCGGACAAGGGCGACGAGGACGACGACGGCGACGTCAAGTCTGGGGAACACGCGGCGAAGAGCGAGGAAGACGACGATGACGATGTGAAGCCCACCACGCCGCGACCAGTGGACGCAGCCGTCAGCCAGGGGGAAACAAGTCCAGCAAACGCGCCTGAAAGTTCCACGGAAGAAGCCGAAGAAGAACGAGAGGAAACCAGAGAAGAAAAGAGCGAAGTCGCCCGCAAAGAAAGTGGAGCAGAAGCTGAAGACGTTGAGGAAAGGAAGGAAACTAATGAGATTCCCGGCGAGGAGGAAGGTGGGCGGGAAGAGGAGTCCGTGGAAGAGGACGATGACGAGGGGAAGCAATCCAAGAAGAGAGACGGGGACAAGGAAGAGGACGAAACCAGTGACGCCGAGGACAGCGGCGAGGAGGTAGAGTCGGAAGGCAAGCAGGCGCCAAAAGAGAGCGAAGAGTCAGTCACCGTCCCCACTACTCCGGAAACCGACAAGGAAGACGTCAAGGGCAGTGAGGGAGTGCCGGATCTGAGCTGCACCGACGAGGCCCCCGACGTGCAGCACGCGCAGATCAGATACGTGCGGTGAGTGGTGGTGCAGGACCCTGCTTAGAGATTTTTACGTAAATTATTTTGGCATCTTTTTCGAATTTTAAATAATTTTCTTCTTAGTTCTTGTAAACCGAATTTTCAGTTTAATTTGTCCACCTGAAAACGGAGATTTCATTTTGTCGGGCAGGTCCGGCGCGGCGGCCGAGGCGCACTACGAGTGCCACCCCAGCTACGCGCTCCAGGGCGAGGCGCGGCTGACGTGCCAGGCCGGCCGCTGGGTGGGCTCCGTGCCGACGTGCAGCCCCGTGGACCCCTGCCTCGAGGACCGCGGCGGCTGCGACCACATCTGCACCAACGTGGAGGGCGAGCCCGAGTGCTCCTGCAGGGACGGCTACCGGCTGGACGGCGACTACTGCGTGGGTGAGTGCTGCGCGTCCGTGCTGCAGACTTCTTAGCACCGGAGCCATTTTGCTTGGCTGTCTCCGTCACTGACACCGAGTGCTTGCAGACGTGGACGAGTGCGCCGGTGGCCGCGGTCCATGCCAGGAGACGTGCGAGAACTTGGACGGCGGCTACCGCTGCAGCTGCGCCGAGGGCACCGCGCTGGCCGCCGACAACCACACCTGCGAGGACGTGGACGAGTGCGCCGCCGCCAACAACGGCTGCTCGCACACCTGCCTCAACACGCGCGGGTCCGCGGTGTGCATGTGCCCCGACGGCATGGTGCTGGGCGCGGACTGGAAGACCTGCAAAGGTTTGAGACTGTTGAGCCAAGTCGGCCGGCATGGAGAAGCTGCAGCCGGTGCTGACGGTTTGATTCCCCGATGTTTGCAGAAGACGCCAAGGCCGGGAAGCAGGCAGGCAGTGGGTCCGAGGAGGCCGACGGAGACGGCGAGGAGGGCGAAGCGGGGGACGATGATGAGGACGGCGAGGGCGACGGTGAGGATGACGAAGGCGTGGATGAAGGCGGCGACGAGAAGGACGGCAACGACGAGGACTACGTCGACGACCAGCCCCAGAGGGAGGCGTCAGGTGATCACCGAAATTATGCGTCGCGAAGTGAGACTTCGTTCAAAACGTGAACGAATAAATTTTCCATTTCCAGGCAAACAGTACCCAGTGCTCAAGTGCCCTCGCGACGTGGTCGTTGAACTGCCCCCTGGCAAGGCAACCGCCGGTGTAACCCTCAGCAAGCCCAAACTCGGCCCGGGATTCAACTGGAAGAGGTGAGTCTGCTGGTGCAAGTCGCTGAAAGTCCAGCCTTGAGTCTTGAACCTTATTTTGACGACTCACTCCCAGGGACGTGGCGGCGCACCCAGCCTGGGGCAAGGGCAGGCACGTTGACCTGGGCGTCGGCGACCACGTGATCACGTACCGCGTCAAGCACCCCTCGACGCGCGCCAAGGCGTCCTGCGTGTCCGTCGTGTCAGTCAGACGTAAGTGTGTGCATTGTTTTCAGCAACGAGTTGGACGTTTCACTGTTTTCATTTTGCACGTTTCCTCGGCCACCAGCTAGCGAGGCCCCCGTCATAGCGGGCTGCCCCCACACTGTCACCGCCAGGGTCAGGGGGAGGAAGCGGTCGGCCTCCGCCACGTGGCGCGAGCCCACCCTGGACGACAACGTCGGCGTGGTGCGGATGCATCGCTCCAGGGTAGCCTATCTTTTGAAAACATTTTAAGTTTATTTTTATTTTAAGTTAGTACAGAGTACAGAGTAGTAACTTTGCTGTTTGCTCCGCCTCCCAGGACCCAGGATCGCGGTTCCCAGTGGGAAAGACGCTGGTGACGTACAAGGCCAGCGACGCGGTCGGCAACACCGCAGTGTGCAGCTTCCTCGTGGACGTGTCGTGAAAAACAACATTGTTACCGTGTGTTCGTTATCATTAAGTTTTCATTGAATAAGTTTTTTTACTTGCGAAGTTATTAAGTGTTATTGTTACGATGTCATTAGAATTCATCGGTGCCATGTTCGAGTCTATCCATTTGTATTTACGAATGTGTATGTATGAATGTGTGTTGTTGTGTGTGTGTGTGTGTGTGTGTGTGTGTGTGTGTGTGGCGCGCGTCGCTGTGTGCTGCTTTGTCGTACCTTAACTAGGCTTTGAGTGACTGTGCTCGTCTCGTTGGACTGTGGTGCAGGCTGTTAGGGTAAAGCATACTGTTTGAGTGATGTGTAAATAATTTTATTTTTACACTATTACTATCGTCAAGAAGATTTCAGTGCATGCAAAATCAGACATTGATTTCGATTCGTGTTGTGTGTGAATCGAAGTAAACGCTCGCTTGGCAGGCCCGCGCTGTATGATGGTGATACAATATACTTTCAGTCTGGCCAATGGGTATCTTCGTATGGAATGTCTCCGGTACGTTTGGGCTTTTAGTACACTTTATTATTATTTATTTTGTACACATCGAAATAGATCTGAAGCGGATTATGTATGTAAGGCGCCATGAAAAATGGGGCCACGACCTTTGACCTATAAATGCTTCAAATAGTAGTTTAGTATTAATACATTACGAGAACGAAACTACACTCCCAGTCAGCGATATTTCTAGCCCTGCGCGTTAATTTTGTTCAATTTACGTACTTCAAAGCTTTCCCTACATTCACAATAAGATGTTTCGTGCAGCATCTCGAAAGATAATGCAGTATTGCATGATGATTGAATTACTATTGTCACTCTTGTGCTACTGCTTGCATCCACCCATGACATTTTGTGTCCAATCTAAGCCATAATCGGACAACGTTGCTTACGAGTTGGCCACAAAGAGGAGCATAAGTGAGTCGCGTGGAATATACGCAACTGTCTTTAAATTTTGCTTAAATCTAATTGTTTTTCTTCATTAAATTAAAATGTAATGTTTTCCTCGGGCAACAATCGTTGATCGTACTAAATTGTTACTTTCTGAATTTCTTAAAACCAGTGTCTTGGCTGATCTTGCCTTAACTTCCACGTTTCATAACTGACTTGTTGGTATCTAAATACATTCATTGTAGAAGTAAGCCCTTGTCTGAACGCCCCAATACCACGCAAATAAACTTTTAAAAGAAGTTAACAAAATTATTTACATCAGAAGGGTTGTTTTCATTAGACTAGTATTAAAAAGATCACCTTCCCGAGTTCCGCAGAAAAAATGGAAGGTACCTTAAAATATTGCCGACAGAAGATGTACACTATACACACGGAAAGAAAAATAACAGACAACTAAGACACAACACCATACTCTATAGAAAAATAGAAACAGGTTTAACGATAACGAATGAAAACAGATAATCATTTACTTTAAGTCCTCATTACGCCGATGTGTACCGCCCCCTCATGACTCAACTTTAATAAAATCTAACAAACAAAACACATTTTGATCCGACATTAGCCGTTTTAACTTGGGGAAAGAAGGGTTTGGATTAAACGAGTATTTGCAGAAGTACTCGCAGCCCAGAGACTGAAAATGTTTTAAGAGAATTATTCACGAAACTTAATGACATTATAGTGGATGATGATGAACTATATACTCAACTCCTTCACCATCTCTTATGAAATTCACTGTCTCTTTCATTATCAAGGAGACTTTGACAAGAGAGCAAACTCTATTCCTACAGAAAGCATTCGAAATTTTTCAAGAATTTCCTTCTGTGAAGAAAAGACATTATACATACAAGGCGTGTTACAACCATACACTCGTTTGCATTACCCATGTATGGAGAAACATACATACGTACTCCGCACGCAGTCGGTGACGGCCAAGGCTAACTTAAGCTGAATCTGTTTTACGATTTCATTTTTCATTAACGGGTAGAGATAATCTCCGTCGGGTCAGTCTACGTTGAAATCAGCTTCACCTATTCAGAAGACTGATTCACAATAAAATATTGCAGTTTACTTATAAGTGCATGGATACATCCCTAAATTCGATACTCCTTCCGATAGGAAGAAAGAGGACTATACACACATGTATTCACATTATGTACACACAATACGACGCAAGAAAGAATACGCAAGCGCGGGGAAGCAGAGTCTAAGAGTATTATTGCTGGGCTATAGGTTGTCGAAGGTCTGAAACAGTTAGCACCATCAAACCTTTTCTAAAAACGAAGTTTTCCAAATCATGTACATGATCAGAAAGCATGTAGCAGCTCCAAACAGAAGAGCAAACTGGGTACGTTGGAAGGGGCTGACAGCGACACAAAAACCAGTACTTCGGTAAAATGGAAGTTTTTTCATTTTACGAACACATGGTCTAGAAGATTAATTAAATGGAGGATCGCTATGGTGCACCCTAAAGTTGTAACGATAGGCTAAACCACTCCGCTAGAAGTACAAGTAAAACATGTCTTCTCAAATGTAGACGTTTTAGTAAAGTTTGAATATATCAAGTAAATAAACAGTGTTAAATTGGTCAATTTAAAAATTGGACTGAAGAACGAGGTAAAATTTAGTCAACATCTAAGATAAAACATTCACCATATCATCTGTCTTTAAGAAATAAACGACCCTCTGTCGCCAATGTCAACTATGGGTGAGTACCATTTACAACAAAGCTTGAAAGCCCGCGCAGAAAAAAAGCAATATTATTAATCAAACATTTTTTAAAGTATGGAGGTTTTGTTTTAAATCGACAGGTGCTGGTAGAACATTGTATGCACGACAAGGTTCGTGCTCAAATTGATTGGTGTGAACGGCTACAGGCCACTGCAACAGTGACGCAGAATCTTGGTTTGTGTTGGTTGAAGCCGCCCGCCCAGCTCCCGGGCCGCGCCGTGCCTCCATTGACAGTAATTGAACTGCTGGCCGCCACTACACTACGCGTCCGACTCCTTGAGGCCCTGCAGCTTCTCCAGCTGGTGCGGCTCCAGGTCCTCGGGCACCTCAGCCTTGACGCCCGCCCCGGATGGCAGTGGCGGCGGCTCGTCGTCCTCCGGCACCTCGTCCGGAGACTCTACCACCTTCTTGGCGCCCTTGGCGGTGGGCGCCTGGCTCTGCGAGTTGTCCGTCGTGATGGACTCCTCGCTGCCCGTGCTGCTGCCCGGCACCGCCTCCCTCTCCGTGGCCGCCTCCTCCTCCGTGTCGCCGTCGCCGTCACCCTCCGGTGGCGGCGGGAAGCTTCCGTCGGCCTCCTCCACGCAGGGCGTCGCGCAGGTGATGACGATGGACGCCACGCACAGCCCCGGGTCGTCGCCGCCGCCCGCCTCATCCACCGGCACCTCGTCGTCCTGCGCCCAGAGAACACAGTGAGCCTTCGCTTGGACGCCCAACGACTTGACACACTCAAGTGCAGAGTGCACACAGCTCCAGGTTGAAGCATGCCTAGAGGTACACTCCACCGCTGCAGTATGCCTGGCATGTACTCTGTTGCTCTGCTTTACATGCGAAAGATAGAAAACTGCAACAGTGCACATGCAGGTATGCGCCACCTGCGGCGTGTACTTGGCAAGTATGCGCCCCTGGACCGAACAGGCCAGACCAGGTTTACACGCTTGCTGCATGCTTGCTGCAACCTGGAGCACGCCATGCACACTCTTGCGTTTGTGGAGAAGAAAGTGTCCCGAGGTGGTCGAGTCGGGTCCTACCTCTCCGTCCACGGCGATGGTGACGATCGGAACGCCCGGCGGTCCTTGCGGGGCAGCTTGCGAGGAAGAGCACAAAGCTTAGACAAGGAATAGGAGACACGCAGCGTCACATGCCACCAAGCCACATTCTATCTTTTTCTCTGGACTTTGTTCTTTCTGAATAACAACGTTTTAAGGGACTCAGATTTTTTTCCTCCCGTGCGTTCGTAAGGACATTGGAAGGAAAAATGTATTTTCTTGGCCCGAAATATTGACAGCCGATACACACACGAGAGGAAAACCAGCCTCTGTCCAGGGAATGCCCAAAGACCAGGACATTTTCATTTCTTCCAAAGTATGAAACTAGGTGGGTACGACGGTCGCTAAGGACTGCATGCACATGCAACAACTATTCCATATCGATAACCCTACGTCGCTACATAGCGCTCCACTTTGAACTGCCCCTTTGCTCCTAATGACATGCAGCACTTGCCAAACTAAACATGACGTTAAAGAGAACTAACACAGAATGCTTTGCAAATGCCTCAGATATTTTTAAAATTATCATTGAATGCCGTGAATTGTGATAACTTTTTGTCGGAAAAATAATTTTTTGTATTGCGGTTTTTTTTACTATGAATTACTTTGAATTACAGTAGAATGGTTGTCAAGTTGTAAATTTTCAGAATATTTGGTAAATTAGACCGGAAGCGCCCTTCTTCATGTTTGTGGTGGATGTGGTTGGCTGGCGCCCGTTGCCCATTATTTTTATTTTCTTTTTGCCGCGCTTTCTCGAAATTCTAAAGAGGGACGCGTTTGTCTCTAGGGCCATGTAGCGGTAAGGCTCTAAGGTAAAAGGGAGAGAGAACACACTCGGCACTCTTACCTGAACCCTCCACAAACTGACTATCGTACTTCTTGTACTTGCTGCCCTCCATCTCCATGGAGAAGCTGAACTTTTTGGACTCTGCTGATGCGGACGCCGGCGGCTCCACCGGCGCGGGTTCTGATCCAAGCGACACACACACACAACATTCACAACGAGCATCAGCGCGGCAGCCAAGCAGTGTCTGTCATGCACCTCCATGACAAAAACAAACAGTGTCAATAATGGCTCCCTGTGTCAATGGCTATTCGCAGTGTCGTGTTCACGCCTACGACCAGACCGACCGCCATGTGGCGTGGCCCGGGTCGCGCAGGGTTAGTTACCACAGCTGAAACGTAAGACAAAGCGGAGTAGAGGATGTTGCGCAAGTGGCAAGAAGGTGAAACTGAAGTTATCGAAGTGAAAGTGAAGATGTTTTGAAGAGTTGACAGTGTCATTTGGCAGAGTATTAATGGTTCTAAGGTTACTAAAAAAATAAAAAATAAAGAAACAAAGAGTTGTCGCACATTCTGCAAAAGCCGAGCGTAGTTTTTTTTCTTTGCCTTCTTTTAAAACTCTGCTTTGCTTGGCAGGTCAAATGCGGCAGGCATGCAAAGGCTAGAATAATTACTGAAGCGTTCCCAAAGAAGAGATGAAAGTTGAAAATGAAAAGGTAGTAATAGAGTAAGAAGTAAGAATACAGAGACGCAAACAAGCGAGTTACTCAAGTAATTTCATTGGCGTAAGGAGCCTAGCTAGTTTATTTAAGTTAACAGAGACTGTCAATCAATTTCCCCTGCTGCCGTCACTATTTTCAATGTCACTTTTTCTCATTAATCATATAACATTAAATTTAAGGTCGATTTGCTTTAAGGATAATATGGTAATGAGGAGAAGGGAAATTCACACGATTTTACCGGGCTGAGCAAAGTCTAAGGCCTGCTTGACCTTAAAAATATTGGCATAGCACAGCTTGTGTGTTGTAGAAAAGCGGTTAAAGCCACGCAATTTCGCTGACTTATGTCTTTAAACCATATTTGGGACCAGATGGCACGATTTTTTTCAGGCGGGAGTTTACCCACCTGTGATCAGGAATCACAGGCGTATAGGCACCGCGATGGCCACATTTGAAACGTTCATTTCGGTTTCCAGACATTTTTCATTTTATGAGGTTAGGTTTTTTGATGGATTGAATTGCATCCCGTTGCGGAGGGTTTACGCGCGGCGGTGAACCGTGAACAGGAAACAGCGCGGGCAGGGCAGGGAGGATTGGTGCTCCGTGGCGGCCGTGGCGCGTGCTTACCGTCCTTGGCGTCGTCGGCGTTCTCCACCATGGGGGTGGCCTGCGTCACGATCACCTGCTGCGGCGCCAGCATGAAGGAGGGCGGCGCCTCGGGGGGCGTGAACACGGGCGGAGCCGACATCGGGGGCGTCTCATCCTCCTGCCAAAAACAAAAACATTTAAAAATGAGGAACAGGAATGGGGCAAACGGATCCCAGCGTGCAACGCGCGCTCACCGACGGCGTGATGGGGTCGCCGTTGGCGTGGCACTCCTCCACGACCAGCGACGGGAAGAGCCCCTTCTGGCCGTGGATCTCGCCCTCCCACCAGCCGTCGTCCACGTCGTCGTGCACCACCTTCCGCAGGATGTGCACGATCTCGCCCTCCGAGAAGGACAGCTCTTCGGCGCACGTCGCCTCGTAGTCGTACATGGCCACGCAGTAGCCGAGGCTGCGGTCCGCCAGGCTGCAACAGGGGAGGGAAGGGACGTCGTGGCAGTGACGGACAGCCTGCGCGATAGGCCGCCCGTTCCACAGCGGTGCTTGGCGGGCGGGCCTACCCTTCTGATGACAGGCGCTCTTCAGTACAATTCGCAATTCTTGCTTTCTCAGAACATGGCATGGGCTTACTTGAGTGGCACGGGCACGGGGTGCGCTGGGTGCGCTGCCGCTGGGGGTGCCGCTGGTGGCGGCATGGCCGGTGGCGGCATGGCGGGCGGCTCGTAGACCTCGGCCACTTCCTCCTGCGTCTGCGCGGCGGGCGCGGCGGGCGCGGCGCCAGCGTCCCCGGGGAACACACCGTCGCCCTCGCCCGCCACGGTGTAGTCCACGGACGAAAAGGAGATCTGGTTCGACAGCTGCAACGGGAGGACGGGGGTCTTTGCCATGGCCATTGTGTGGCGGTACAAGAGCGCTGATTCCAGGCCCATTAGGGTGCATTGTCTGCGCGCCGCGCCGCGACCCAGTTCCAAGCGAGTGGGCCAGGGGCGGCCCTGGGCCCTGGGGCCGGGGCGCAGTGCGGGACTCGGTGCGGTCTGCGGCCGCGCGCCCGTCGGTGCGGACCGCCGCGGAACGCCGCGGACCGCACGGCACCCTCCGATCAGCGGGATGCTGCGGGCGACTTGAACGTCACGGCCGCGCCGTATCGACCGCCTGGACCTGGGCCACGTCACCAACCCCCTCATCTCCCTCGTCACCCGCGGCGCCCTGGGCCGCCAGGCCGCCAGGCCGCGCCAGGCAGGCCGCTAGGTCCAACAGGGTTCCTCCATTAGGGCTGGCAGTGAAGTTGGAAGTGAAGACTCACCTGGTAGTTAGAGGCGCCCGCTTGCAGGCCGCCCCCGGTGGCCTCGCGGTCCACGTCCAGGTAGTTGCTGGGCACGAAGCCCTCCTCGCCGCGGTAGTTCCTGGCGCACAGCCAGCCGTCGCCGTCGCCCTCGCCGACCACCTCGAGCTGCTCGTTCTCCACGATGGTCAGCTCGTCCGGGTTTTGTGCCTGCAAGGGAAAGCGGTCCCATTGCGTGACCTCGCCATTTGATGGTGCGCTCGGAGGCTCCGGCTCCTCGGCTGCTTACCGTGTAGGAGTACAGGGCGATGCACTTGTAGGTGGGGCCGCTCGCGTTGCCCGCCATGCCGACCGGGCGCTCCGTCGCCGCCGCCGCCACGGCCGCCGTGGCCGCGTCCTCGGTCTCCTCGGCGCCCCAGGCCGCGGTGGGGTCGTCCCAGCCGGCCGTGAGCTGCTCTATCCGCTGCCGCTCTTGCTCCAGCATGGCTGCAAAGGCAATGTCGCCGAGGGCGGGGCGTCAAAGGCGGGGCCACTGGCGGGGCCACTGGCATGGCGGTGCCAGGGTTCCCCAGCGGGGCGCTGTCCAACTACGCCAGTCTCACGCTGCGGCGCTCGCTAACAAAGGCGGAACAAAGGCGGATGGCGATGCCGCCACGACGGCGCGCTCGCGGGGGCCGGGCCAGGCGAGCAAACTTTACACTTATTGAGATTTTGGGTGCCCCTTCCGCAAACAGCTAGAGGCATATCCATATCATTTTTGTCTTCAGCCGTTTACGAAATAAATTTCCAAAAGCCGCAAAGCAATGTTCAGTTTGCACGCCCTGGCGTTGGTCTTCTCGGGGGAGGCCAGCGTGGTCTCACCGCGGCCGGCGCCGGCCCCTCGGGGTTGCCAAGAGAGATTACACATGCACGCTGCAGGGGAGCCGCGTTATGAAATGCCGGCGCCACACAACTACGCGCCATTCCGTTGCATTCCAGCGAGCGGGGCGGAGCGCGTAGCGCGGGGTGATGCCGAGCGGGCCTTACTCTGGAGATGCTCAACGAGTGCATGGAGTGCGCCCTTGAGTGCGCCCCTTACTCCGGCCGCTTTGTCCTGCTCGCGCTGCTCGCGCTGCTCGCGCTGCTCGGACGATGAGGGTTATTCGTTCCACGGTTCCACTCTCCACTCGGAAGCCGGCGGGGCGTAGCGCGCCGAAACGTACCCCACTCACCGTCCACCTCAGTGGAGTCGGGCCGCTCCTCCTCGTCGTCCTCGTAGTCCTGGGCCGCGGCCGACGTGCTGCCCGACCGCGGCGCGTTGCGCTCGCCCTCGCCCTCCGTGTAGTCCGAGTCGTAGAACGAGTCGGAGTGGGGCTCCTGCCGAACAAACCAACGGGCTGTGAGTTTCACTATACCATCCGCGGAACATCACTGAGGAAGGTCACAAAATAGTGAAACGGCACAAATCACGATACGTCGATTTTGGACGAAATTTCAAAAGGGAATTTCATCTGAATGACAGCAGTGTGGTAGGCAAGTACGCAGTGCTACGCACCCCGGTGCCGGACGCGTCGGTGTGCACGGACAGCGAGCTGGTGGACCGCGGCACGTCCTTGGGGTCCAGGTAGTCGGCCTCCTCTAGCCACTCCTCCACGTTCACTGCGGGGGCAAAAGGGCAGAAGGTTAGGTTAGGCTGTCCAGCTTGGCGAGAACGCAGCGCGCCGCGCGCTCACACTGCCGACTCACCTCCGCCTTTCCGCAGGCACTCTATCCGCGCCTCCGCTTTCACCTTGGCCGTCTGCGGGAAACACATTAGTCATTACTAATTGCCCTGGATCCCTCATTTTTCCCCCGCGCATTTTCTTTGTGCGAAGACTTGTGGTTTTTTTCTCGTGTACGAGCGCGGGCTCCCGGGCGAGCTCAGTGTCCGCAAGAACGGCCGGGAAAGAGCATTTACTGAGTGCGGCGTGGGGGGGGGGGGGAGGGTGCCTCCGTTGTCCCTCCCCCGCCTCCCCTGCACGCGTCCCCGACGGAGGGATGAGCCCTTTCCCGTTCGTCTCGGCTCGCTGCCCCAGGCCATGCCCGGGCCGCAGGGAAGCACCGGCCCCGCCGCGCCGCACCTCACCTCTGCTCTCCTGATGGTCTGCCGCAACTCCTCCATCTTGGTTTCGATGTCCGGCCCGTTCTGGTCATTGGGGTCGGTCTGGCGGAAAGGCAATCAAAAGGTGAGGCGGCGGTCGCTCCAGAACACAACAACAACAACAACAACAACAACAACAACAACTCGGCATCGAGCTGGAGGGCCTGGAGGGCCTGGAGGAGCGCCCACCTTCTGGCCCTGATCCTTGAGCTGCTGCAGCGCGATCAGCTTCCTGGAGCACTCCCGGATGGAGTGGTTCTCCCTGGCGATGCGGTTGCTCCACCGGCGCGCCTCCTTGGACAGCGTGGTGGACGCCGTGCTGTGCTCCGCCGTGACGGTGGTCACCGTGTCGTCGTCGCACGGCTCGAACTCGTACTGGATGTGCTGCTTCAGCACGGGGTAGAACAGGTACACGCACTGGAGGTTGTACTCGCGCGTCAGCTGCAACAATACGAGATTCGTTTCGAGGCGCGGTCTTTTCGGTCCGTTGCAAGGGGTTCCGACAGTGGCGGTGACGTCTACCTGGAGAGCCTGGTCCCGGATCCTCCCGAAGGAGTGCTGCGTGGCCGAACAGGTGAGCAGCTCCGTGCGCCCGATCATCATGAGGTACTCCGCCACCTTGTCGTACACGGCGCTCTCCATCGTCTGCAACGCCAGAAACGTCAATCCCGCCTTCTCAAACTCGACACGCTGTGTGTTTGCACAAAGCGACCTCTTCCATCTCTCTCCCTCCTTTTGTCTGACGCAGAGAGGTCGGGCATTCAAAGAGAGCACGAGAGGTCGGTTCGGTTGGTCCACGCCGGCAGGAGCGGGCGGCGGGCCCTCCCCCATCCCGTCGCCCCCGCACTCATCGCGGGCGAGGTGCAGTGTGCCAGTGTCGGCGGCTGGCAATGCTGGCGATGCCGGCAATGCCCCCCTCCCTCAATCGATACTCCCTGCCTGCGGCGGGGAGGGGGCCCGGTGCGGCCCGGGGGTCCCCCAGGCACCCCTCGCCCCCACGGCTCCCAGCGGTAGCGGTGCCCCCTCGGTGCCCACGCACGGCGTCAGCGCGGCGTGCCGGCGCGGTCGAGGCCGCCGTCGTCGCCGCCGTCACCGAGACCACCGCGCACCTCTCACCTCTCCCCGCCATACGCGGTACTTACCGCCATGGCCGACTGCAGGTCCACCAGGAAGTAGCGCGTCTGGTGCGCGTTGGCCGAGGCCAAGCTCAGCAGGTAATCGTTCCTGGCACCCGTCGACTTCTCCTCCAACTGCTCGCGTTTCGAGGTGACCTGGGGAGCAGAAACGCTGTCGTTGCTACCCTTGTTTCCTCAGCAGGCTGAACGCAAACGCCGCTCATCGGAGCGTCTCGTCTTACCTTGGCACTGTTTTTCTGGAGGGACGTTATCGACTGGAAAAAGGATCCCTTCTTCTTTTTTAATCTGAGGAAGGAAGGAAACGCTGCATTAGGACAAGGCGATAATCTCTGCTCTCGGCCGATGTCACCCAATCGATAATCGCTGCAATCGTCATGCATCGACTGACTCAAGCATTCCCGCGCGGGGACCGCCCGGAATAGAATTCCGAAGTGACAGCGTCGCAGCGTGTACCGATGGTGATTTAATGACGCGAGACTGCGCCAAGAGGACCTAACCACATTGACAACGACACTGCATTGTGCGAAGGGGAACCCCCTGTCTAAAGACGGGCTGAAACTAGATCGAAGTTCATTCAACACCACTGGACCCCATTTTTCTTTATCACAGAGTGCACAAAATTGTGCATAAAATGCCTACTTGAGTCAGAAAATAGGGCGCAATGTGGGTTCGATCGAGTTTCGGACCGGTTTTTATTTCTTTCGTTGTAATTAGGATAATACACTTACTTTTCCTCTATGTCTTTTGCCTTGTCCCGAACGTCGTGCGCGCTATGTTCTTCATCGAAATAAAATTTTTTCGTCTTATCCACTTCTACGACTGTTGTTTGTAATTCTTTTTGTACAACCGCCAAATGGTCTATTGTCTGAAACAGAAAATGAAAGCAGTGAGTTGAGGACGAAGTCTTCAGGCCTCGCGTCACGCGCGTTGAGGTTCGGGCGAGGGTTCGGGCGAGGGTTCGGGCGAGGGTTCGGGCGAGGGTTCGGGCGAGGGTTCGGGCGAGGGTTCGGGCGAGGGTCCGGGCGAGGGTTCGGGCGAGGGTTCGGGCGAGGGTTCGGGCGAGGGTTCGGGCGAGGGTTCGGGCGAGGGTTCTGGCGAGGGTTCCGGCGAGGGTTCGGGCCTGGCAGGCTGGCGACCCGTCCCTCAAAACTTCGGTAATAGGTGTTGACCCTCCTTAAACTTGGACCCTTTCCTCACCTTCCTAGCTACTTGTAATTTGTGTGAGCGTAACGTTTTGGCGTCCTCTATCACGTTCTGCTGGAACACCTCCACGGCCGCGAGGCGCGCCCTGGCCAGCTTCTCGTTCTCCTCCAGCACCGTCCGCCAAACGTTCCACATGTTCCTGGAAGAGCAACAACAACACTCGGTTACGAACAAAAACGAAGCAAGCAGATCATCGCTGTATCGGGTTCCAGAGGCGAACAATCCCATTGATTGTGTAACAACAACCTCGCGCAATTATTGGGCACACTGTTTTGTTTTTGCTTTTTCATGTGCGGGAAGAATAGGGATCCCCTTACCATTTTTCTTCACCACCTTCAGTCTTGATGTCAGGAATATTAGGTATTTTCTTGTTTAGAAAGGCTGATGATATTTTGAGCAGGGCCTGCAACGGAGAAAAGCCGTGATCAGAGGAAGTTCCAGAGGCATTCGATTAATTTGGATGAGCCAGTCCCGAAATGACTTACCTCTGAATATGATCTTTCTATTGCTGATCTTTTGATTATAAAACTTCTGCAAAAGGAAAGGCGGTGTCAGTTACAACAAACTTTGCAAGAAGGAGGAGGTTTTCGCCCCCAGGCGCCAAGGCACCAGGGTGGCCACGGTACTGTGAAAAACAACAAACGGCAAATCTCGTTAAATTTTCGCCACCATTTACCGTGGCTCAGTACCCAGATTTAACGTAACCCTCAAGGATTTTCCCACCATTTATACGAGATTCGTTGTACCCCCCACTAGGGGTGGGTACGGCATTTACTGAGGTTCTTTCGCACAGTGTAGTACGTGACAGGGCCGCGTCAATGGGATTGCTAAAGATAGCCCAACGCAATATGAGCGAGTCCCCCGTCCCGTTCTGCACACGTGCTCGCCGCGGCTGGCGTGGCTTGGCGTGGCTGGGCGTCGCCCACGCTGGTAAATGAAGCAGACGCGCCAGATGCTAAAATCGATCCCTCCACGCAAAGTAATGCGGCTACCCCCGGCGCGAGGGAGATCCTGGCCGCCCTGGCGGCGCACGGGGTAGACGCAGCGCCCTGCTTGGGCCCCGCGCGCCGCAAGGCGTGCTCTCGGGGTGCTACACCCTGGCACTACACCCTGGCACTACACCCTGGCACTACACCCTGGCAGGACACCCTGGCACTACACACTGGCAGGACACCCTAGCACAACACCCGCTGACCATACACTGGCACTATACCCTGGCACTACTAGGACACCCTGGCGCTACACCCTGGCACTACACCCTGGCACTACACCCTGGCACGACACCCTGGCACTACACCCGCTGACTATAAACTGGCACTATACCCTGGCACTACACCCTGCACGAGACCCTGGAACTACACCCGCTGACTATACACTGGCACTACACCCTGGCACGAGACCCTGGCACTACACCCGCTGACTATACACTGGCACTACACCCTGGCACGAGACCCTGGCACTACACCCGCTGACTATACACTGGCACTACACCCTGGCACTACACCCCGGAACAACACCCAGGCACCACAGCCCAGCGCCACGCCCCGCTGCCCCGCTACCTGCTGGGCAAACATCATCAGATGGTATCGACCCGCGCTCCATCCCTCAGCAACCCGACACTGTGTGTCATTTGCGATCTGCGCACCGCTCTCCCCGAGGACCCCTGCGAACTGGGTTGCCATCCGCCACCGCCCGGTTCCCCGGGGGGAGGGACCCCTCCCCACCAGACTCCCGCTGGGCGGCCCGTTCTGACAGGTCTGTCCCAAACTGCCCCCGACTGCCCCTCATATTCTTCAGACTGGACGAAAGCCGCGTCTCATTAAAAATCATGGATCATTAAATGCAGCGCGCTGCAGGGCGGTGGCGCTGCAGTGGCTGGGGTGGCGAAGGACCCTTGCGAGGTCCCCCTCATCCATCGATACATCGCTCTCTCCCTTTCCCCGTCTAGCACCCGTCTGCGGCCAGCCAGCAGCCAGCCAGCAGCCAGCCAGCGGTATTAGACGAGGTCAATGTTGCGGCCAGCCTTAGCCAGCCTTGGGAGGACCCCCCACCCCACCCCCTCCATTCCCTTCCGCTTCCCTCCCACTTCCCCTTCTCCTTCCTCTCCCCTCCCTGTCCCTTCCCTCCCGCGTTTAGCTCCGGAACGGTTCACCCAGACGGACGATCGCCAAATCAGCGCCGTGGCCGTTTTCGGCGCGTGATAACCCCTCACAAATCTAAGGCGCGCACACACACAGTCCCAGTTGGATGGACGCACCTCAGGTCTTCTAGTAGTTCGCATTCGTGCTGGTTTTTTGCTTGTAGTTTCGCTAGTTGCTCCGAGTGTAGGTTTTTGAGGAATTTGGCGTAGTTCCCCTGCAACACAGAGAGGAGAGAATTGTGTCGTTATGAAGATGGAGGCAGAGAAACTAACGAACACCGAGGCAAGGAAGAGCGGGAGTCAAAGGCGTGGCCAGAGGAGGTCCTCGACGACGGCGCGACACCTTTATACACGCTTCCCTTTCACACACACAGACACACACAGGCGCGTGCACACACACACACACAGCCCGTATCGACGTTGCCGGCAGGGCGCCTGCTTCGGTTCACATGCGGCGCGTAAATAATCCAGGCGGGGCACAAAATGAAGAGGATCACGGCAGCGCGGCTGATACGCCGTTAATGGAAAGAAGATGGTTCTGGCGCCCGCGCTCTCGCTAATGAATCGCCTCTTGGACTCGGCAAAGGAGCCCGAGGGGCCCGCGGGGCCGGGGAGGGAAGGGGGAGGGAAGGGGGAGGGAAGGGGGAGGGAAGGGGGAGGGAAGGGGGAGGCTGAGCAGTGCTTGGTCGCCCTGTCGCGCTCGCACTCGTGTGGCGTTCCGTGGGGGCGCAGGAGAGACGGAGCGACGCCAGCAGGGTTCGGAAGTGAGGCTGTTCGCGGCGTTCGCGGCGTTCGCGGCCTTCGCGGTGGCGCAGCAGCTCTTCCGCCACTCCAGCACCGCGGAACCAGTGGAGCATGCCTTGGCGTTCCCCGAACCAGAAACTCTGCTTCATATTTGTATAAAACGTAAACGACAAAAACACGATAACGCGTGAAGAACGACTCGCGGCTCTTGGCTTGTACTAGCGCTTCTCTTGTTCTTTGCCCTGAGAAAAAGAACCGCGGGCAACTGCTTGCATGCAAGCTGTGTGCCGTTTTTAATACGTTTTCAGACTACACTGCCCTCCTCAATTAAAAGCAACTTGTAGCATTCCCCCTCTGTCCCCGCCTGGAAAAAGAAATGGAGGTGTGTACAGTGTTAATACGCCCTTTCGGGAAGAGGGAGAGGGGGGCCACGCGGGTCGCGGGGCCGCAAGGGGATGGCGAGTGGGGAATGAAAACCATCGACGTGCAAATCAACGCAATTTCGGAGACCGGGAATCGACGGGAAATGGGCAAGTGCCCCGCGTTCGCCAGCATTCCGCATTCCGCATACCTCGCGGGGCTCACGGGTCGCCCCCTCGAGGCCCCGCCTGGCTGCCTGTCTGGCTGCCTGCCTGCCTGCCTGCCTGCCTGCCTGTCTGCCTGCCTGCTTGCTCGGCTGGCCCACACAATCTGGACCGGGAGCCCCAGTCCCAGTCGGCCCTGGCCCCGTGGGAGGGCCAACACAATGCCCTGCACTCGCGCTACCCTCCAGTGCCGCCCCGCCCCGCCGATACGCACCCCTGCGGCGCAGGTACCGCACCAACCCAGCAGGTACCAACCCACCTCAATAAAACTGCATTCAAATTGAATGCGGCCCCCGAGCGGCCGCCAACCACGTCGTCCGCGTCGTCCACGTCGTCTACGTCGTCCCGGCGGACGCGTCCAGAGCCCGACGGCGCCGACGGCCCGATGCCAATGGCGGGGCATGAATGTTGATGTGGCCGGCCGGGCCGTGGCGCCGTGACCCTTGCCGTGGACCGTCGCGCCTCGCCGCCCCTTTGAGGAATGTTCTGTCGGGAAGGGCGGTCCCTTTCCGGGCGACTGACTGAGACTGACAGACTACAGAGTGAGTGACTGACTGACTGGTTGACTCTGGACCGACGGCGCGATCAAGCTCAGTACGGCCGGCAACTTCCACTCTGGCGAACCGAAGAGGCGCGGCTGGCCTTCGTCTCCAACGGCAAACACGGCTTGAGAGCGAGTAAATACGTAAATACGCTCGGCGGGCGCTTTTATTTTCTCGTGATGGAAGGAGGATAACCCAGACTTGTCGAGCGGGGTGGGGCGGGGCCGGGAGCAGCTGTGGGGTGGAAATATGGGGCGGGGGTCAGCCAGAGCGGGGTGAGTGGGAAAATTATTATGAAATTTAGAGTGGCAGCGAGGGGCGCTTGGCAGTGATACAGCCCCCCACGACCGCCTCCCCCTCCCCCTCCCATCCTCCATGTACCCGCCGCCAGCCGGGCTCCAGCACTTCCAGCACGCCCTCGTTCGTTGTGCACTGGAAGAAAACACGGACGAAAATCGGAAGGAAACTACCGCCAGTTATTGAAGATAGAAAATTCACGTGGGGAGTTTCAAATTTCATCGGCGAACGACAGGTGCGAACTTCCGTACTACGGGCCTCCGCCGTCTAAAAGAAGGGCCAAATCCCGGCGAAGGCCGAGCCCAACCGCATCAATAAGTGACGACGCACTTCGCGTCCGCGTCTTGCCGGGGCGGCAGAGCCGAGGCAGAGCCGACAGGGCCAAAGCCAAAACCCTGCGCAGCCCTGCGCAGCCCTGCGCGGATCGTTCGGTTCCGTGATGCCGTGACGTCACACGCACGTGTGTGTGTGTGTGTGTGTGTGTGTGTGTGTGTGTGTGTGTGTGTGTCAGTGTGTCTCTGTGTGTCTGTTTATTTATTGGCCAATGTCGCGAGAATGGCGTGCCATTAAGGTGGAACCATAGTTCACGAGGTGACGTCATCTTTCGCGGGCATTCCATCGGTTTAAATCGACGCTATTTCATGAAAGGCCGCGGTTTGTTGGCGCCTCTCGCAGAGTACTAGCTCCCCGCAGAGCGGCGTGGTGGTGAGGGCGCCGCTTGCACCGCTTGCGCCCCAAACGAGGGCCAAATGGGGCTCCATGCTCGTTGCAGGAGGCAGACCGCGTGGTTAGCAGTTTCAAGCCTCCCCCGGCCCGGGGGAAGGGGGGCGGTTGGTTTTGTTTGCTTTTTTGATCGCGCAGTCTTTGCTTTGCAGGCCGGAGGGAGAGTTGTTGTCGGGAGAGACGAAGAGTCCCCCGCCGGCTCTCCCCCGCCGGCGGCCCGGCCTGGGGGCCTGGCGGCCTGCTCCTTGACGGGTCCCCCGACGAGCCGCCGGGCCCGGACTAGCCCGGACTAGCTCGGACGGGCCCCATGCACTTCCGCGCAGACTTTCTTGCAAGCGTTTGCCTTGGCTCGGACTGTACCCCATCCACTGACTCCAGGCCAAGGGACGGCGAAGGGGGCGGCGCGGGGGCGGCGCGGGGGGCGGGAAACGCCTATCGACCGACACACTCAGAGCGGCATGGCCTGGCTTGGCCGCCCCTCGCCCCCGCCCCCGCCCCGCGCCCCCACGCCTAGGCCGGGGGCGCAGCGGAGTGGAGTGCCCTACTAGATCGGTCTCGTTTCGTGTCCCGCAACGCGCGCACCGCGGGGATGGATAGGTACTAAGTACAGTCTTGCAGTGTGGGAGGAAGGGCTGCCCTGCCTCCGACGGCAGCCAGTTCGGCACCGCTACCCCTCCCCCCTCCCCGCCTTCCCGCAGCGACAGGCTGACGGGCAGACGAGCGCTGCTTTTCGGCGCGAGTCTTTTCTGCGCAGACTTGAGGTCCAAATCGGTTAACGACGCCGACATGGCCCGCAAGCAAATAGGCACGAGGTCGAGGCTGCTCGAAACGGAGCGAGGAGTGAGAGAGCGAGAAGAGGCCGACGTAGACATCAGGGTCGTCACGGTGAACGGTCCGAGGCAGCGCGCTGCAACCACCAACTTGTTGTGTGTGTGCGTGTGTGCGTGTTTGTTGTGAGGTGAGGGTCGTGTTGGGGCGCCCCGGAGAGCACTGCCACCTCGCCGCCGCGCTACAGTACTCGGCCGAGGTGCGGTACGGCTACGGCACTCGGCGGAGCCACAGATCTGTAGGCAGAGCAAAGTCGGGGAGCAAGCCCGAAGGTAAACAGCCGCGAGGCGCGCGGCGCGGGGCGGGGCGCGGGGCCTCATTCTTCATCATCGCTCACCACGGCTCGCTGCGGCCCTGTTCAGTGTTCACAGACAGGATCCAGGACGCGGCAGGACCGCGGGGCACAAACCCCACATCGCACCAGCTAATCTCGAAGCGTTATAGACGTCGGTGGTTCTCTTCGGTTCTCAGTTTTTAAGAGTGTATACCAGCGGTTCCCAACCTTTTTCGGTTCGCGACCCCAAATTTGTAGCCAAAACTTTTCGCGACCCCCAGAAAAAATTGCGCGACCCCACGCGACCCCTCCTTTAGCATGCCTTTGTTACGGAGTGCGATTATCTGCCTAAGTTTGGGAGCAGTATTGCCGCAAAGTTGATCAAAACGGTCACAAATGTCTGAAAAATCGTGTTTCGGGCCGACTTTAAGCATCCACTGCGTCTGATCCGAGGCGGTAAATCGTCCTCCCTCAACGGGCAATTGGTCTTTAGACCAATTTTTGCCACAAAGTTGATCGAAACACGATTTTTCAGACATTTGTGACCGCTTTGATCAACTTTGCGGCAAAACTGCTCCCAAACTAAGGCAGATAATCGCACTCCGTAACAAAGGCATGCTAGAGGAAGGTCTAAAGACCAATTGCCCGTTGAGGGAGGACGATTTACCGCCTCGGATCAGACGCAGTGGATGCTTAAAGTCGGCCCAAAACACGATTTTTCACAGACATTTGTGACCGTTTAGACCAACTTTGCGGCAGTACTGCTTCCAAACTGAGGCAGATAATCGCACTCCGTAACAAAGGCATGCAAAAGGAAGGTCCAAAGACCAATTGCCCGTTGAGGGAGGACGATTTACCGCCTCGGATCAGACGCAGTGGATGCTTAAAGTCGGCCCAAAACACGATTTTTTACAGACATTTGTGACCGTTTTGATCAACTTTGCGGCATTTAAGCAGCCAGTGCTCGGCGTGTGGGCCAGCCGGGCAACCGCCGCGACCCCAGGCGACCCCAGCCACCTCGCCACGACCCCTCGAAATTTTTTCGCGACCCCATTTGGGGTCGCGACCCCTAGGTTGGGAACCGCTGGTGTATACCCATCTCATGGCATACTCCCTCGGGTCATGAGTTCGATTCGAGTTGGTTTTCAGTAATGTAGAGCTGCAAGCGTGCCCAGGGTAAAGTCCGCCGAAACTAATCTTCTAGTTCGGCGGGGCGGAGTGGG